TAATAGATATGCTCGCACCCAATCCCAACCCAAGAAACGTCAACCCACAATCCGTTGCTGACAGTAAATCAATGGGCACAAAAGCCAACGCAATCACCGCGATTTAACTTGATCTTGGTTAAGATCTTCCAGCTGGGTGGGTGCACAAATGGCATAAAAAGCCCACACATTTGCTTCCATTTAAGGTCCAATTGGTATTGCCCTTGTCAGCATCATTACCATTATTGTCGGGACTGCGCTTCCTCACCACCGGGCACGTGCTTCGTTTACGCGGTTAGGAGTGATGGAGAGTTTGCGGTCAAGAGAAGCTCACGTGGGATGCGTGTGCAGGCCCCCCTGTTCCCACCGCACTAGCCAGCCAGGTATGATGGTAATTTTGAACTGACATTTCGACGCTGTCAGTAGTGACTTTGTGGCCAGAATTTCACGAATTTAATATAAATTTAAAATAATTTAAATCATTTATTTTAATAAAATTATATATTTTAATAATAAAATAATTTTATACCTACGTATATTTTTTCCTGTTTTATATTATTTTTGTTTAAAATATTATAATTATATTTTTTAAAAAATATATTTTTATATATTTAAATTTATTTTTTTATAAATATAAAAATATTTTATCACTTATATCTAATTAATTAAGTAATAATTAAAAAATAATATAAATATTTAACAAATTTTTATTCTTATTTTTAATGATCGATCAAAAACTCATTTACATTGTGTTGGATAATACTATATTCCTATTATTTATATTTATAAAAACTAGAGAGTAAAATAAAATAAGGAATAAGAAAATCTAAGTTAAATAGAAATGGGGAGAGTGAAATTTAAAGTTTATCATAAAAGTTTATAAAAATATAAAATTCATGTCTATAATTATTTAAAAAAACACATTCCCACTTTTTCTCCCATTCTTATCCTTTTATTTTTTATTTTGCTCCACTCTTCTATTTCTTTTATCTATCATTTTCTTTAAAAAAATTCTAGTGAATGTAAATAACATAAATATAAATATTAGGTGATCATCTCATTTCAATCTAATTAATTTAATATTATTTTCATAATCACATAAATAAGAAGTTAATTAAAGCATTATAATTATAAAATAAAATTTTAAAATAGGACTAATATCACATTTTTTATAAAGAAAAAAGAGAACAAAGAATGACCCACATATTTATGTGGTTGGACCAAATACGATTTGTTGATATTTAAGAAAAAGCTCTTTCATAAAAGCAGCTTCTTCTCAACGAAACTAGAAGCTCATTCTCTTGGGAGATGACAGTGAAGACAAACAACTTGTTGGATTCAAAATTTACCAAGGGAGTTTGAAAAGTAACAAAATTAAGAGAGTTTAGAGAGAGAGTATTATTTTTTCAAAAAAAAAAAAAAATTTGAAATGAGGTTTTATAAAGTCCAAAAACTAGGTTTGGCCAAAGTTAAAATCCACTCCATATTTTGAGTTTGCAATCAATTGAGTGTTTCATAAAATTGAATTTCACAATACTTTATTTAATTACTGATATTCTAATTTAAATTTTTTAAACCCAAAATTAAATAAACGTTGTCCTAAATTTTTTTACTTTAACCAAGTTTTTTTTTTGTGATAACATAAAAAATTCTATTTTTTTGTCGTGAAAAAAAAAATCTGGCTTTTTGTGTGTTTGGTTATAAGTTATTCTAGATTTCAAGAGGTGGAATTTTTATTTATTTAAAAAATTCCAAAAAAAATCCTACAATTTTTATTTAAAAATTATAAACCCATACACATGACTTATTGATCTAAAAATATAATAAAAAATAGCACAAAAGTGATGAGAAACTCCTATACACACACACACACACACACACAATATGTACATGCATATATTTCACCTTGCAAATCCCGTCCGGCTATATTCTGAAAATTTAGTATCTACGAGAAATACTATGTTCTGAAATTCACCCCGCAGCCATATTTAACGAAGGTCAATCGTTTTATGGAAGCCCTGACTACACCCGTAAACTCCTCACGGTTCACTCATTGATTTGGCTGGGCCGAATGAGAGGCCATCTGGGCCATAATAATGGGCTTTCCAGGAAATGCAATTTCTCCAGTTCTGTTAATCGCCAAATATTGCTGGATCAACCTTGTTGGCCTTAGAGTCGGCCCCTAAGTTTTGTGCACCGAAAAACTTATAAACCTTCATTTTTTTTTTCTCTTCCCTTATTTTTTTGCACTGAACTGAAGGCATTGTGCTGTTTAGATTGGTTCAATTTTTACTAAATTTTGAATCAAAAACAAATTATTATGGTTTAAAAATTTTTAACCATAAACTAAACTAGCTTATAATGGAAACAATCTAATTTAAACCAATTTTTGTAGTTTGGTTCGGATTTTTAATTTTACTTTTAAAAATTATTTTTACATTATACCTAAGATTACATACCAAATAATTTAAGAATACTTGATTTTCAGTTATCAAATATGCATTTTTGTATGAATTATGAATTGAATATATATTTTCAGTTATCAAATATGCGTGTTTGTTTATTTATTAGGATAACAAAAATAAATAAACAAACATATAAGACACACTATGATAAGTAATTAAAATTGTAATTCCATATGTTAAATATATTAAATTTTGTATAAGACAAATAAATATTGAAATATGGACAGAATTTATAAGTTTATTAGGTTATGCAACCATACCTTTAAATTATAATAACTATAGATATAAAAATGAAGTGTTATTTTTGTTCAGTTTGATTTAATTATTAAAAATTAAAATTCTATACCAACCCATATTTTTTGTTTTAAAAATTTTCTCAACCTCTAGCCAAACCATTTAATATGAAAAAATCAATTTAAATCAAGCCAAACACATGGGTTTAATTTGATTTTAAATGTGATTGATTTTTATATATCCCCACTGAACTGACTTTGCCAATCTTTTCCTGCCCAAAAAGGGAAAAGAAGAATACCATTTTCCCCGTCGGGAAGGAGAAATACACGTTTATGTGTTTTAAAAAATGATTTTCTCTATTTGTATTTGATGATTCGTCTAGAGTTTTATCTTGTTGTCATATCAAAATGGTCTTTAATCCCTAAATATGTGAGTAATTTAGTCATTTTAATTATGCGAATTGAGATTATTGATACGATCAAATGAACAATCTAATTAAACCAATTACAAGTGAGAACACCCTTAAAACTTGGTCGCTACCCATATATTTGATATTAAGGATTGATCAAATAAATCAGTGATACTAATATTCGTTTAACTAGTATTAGATAATGACGTTGATGAAATGGATACTAGGCTGTAAACCCAAAATTAAATAACTTAGCATTGTGTCAAATGTAGGTTAGGAATCTTTCTATTTGAGTCTTAAAAAAATTTAATTATTTGTAAAAGTCAGAAATAATTTATATTTTTTTAAAAAAATTTAAATTTAAAAATTTAACGTGCAGTCTAAAAAATATAAACCATTTATTAAAATGAACAGTACAGTTCAACCAATTTTTTTTTTTTTTAAAAAAGCCAATATAATGGCATGGAGACCTTTTATCCACTCAATGCGCTCCTTGATGGGCATATGTCTTGAACTAATTATACTTCCATTACGACATCAAAAGACCAGAAAAGTAATAGTTGTACATTTTGACAGCACTTTGGTGCATCATAAGCCGAAATTTGGGACTAGAATGAAATATATGCCAACACTTAGAAAAGTAAGAGGCGGTTGATGTACAAACAAAGCATGCACTAATATAAAATGAAGCAAGCACGGAAACAGCATGGTGCTAGCTTGAGCAAGCAGATAACAATACTTATATAGTTCTCACATGATTCAGAGTTTTCAATAGAATCTGTCTATGTTTTCTTAGAGGTACACCAAATTAGACATGTTTGAAACAAATATAGCAAGAGACCGAACTCACTGATTCCTGTGAGAGGAATGTGCACCACCGTGGCTGGCTATTCTTTTTACTTTCACATTGTCGCCGGCAACCATGGCATGTAATTGGTCACACTGGGGCCTGCCGCCACCGTGATTGGCTCCGTCTGGTATCTGAAAATTCAACGAAACCAATTTACCTAAAGCTTTCATTATCATTGAATTGTGCAGCATGATGATATTAATCATGGTATCTTACATGAAAGTACATGATAAGGAATTGAATATCTTATCATTTGGTTGGTCTTTTTGAATGTCTATTCTAAAATGCTTAACGTTTCACATAAAAACTGACATAGTTGAAATCAGTAATCTGGTTAAACTACGTTTGAAAATTCATTCTTGTGATGCCAAAAACTAGCCTTACCCATGCAATTATACTCAAATATAAGGGGCAGATCAGAATTGCTTTTAGAAAATATATACTAATAAACCCCCATTTGGCTGGCGTTTTTTTGAACATTGTTTCAGAAATAATTTTCTTGTTTAAACATGCTCTTTTTTCTCAACGGACTTCCCGTATGTTGCTTTTGCTAAAATATGATAAGTAATTGAAATACAACAAAGTTTTTAAGATTTTCACTATATTTTATTCTTGGAAACACAGAAAATTATACTGAAAACAGAAAACAAAAAGCAAATCCAAACATACAGTAAAGGTTAGTTTGCATTTGCAGTCTGTTCTGTTTTGTGTTATCATTTTTCGGTCTTTTTGTATTCAAAAACAAAAACACTGAAAATCTATAAAACTTATAATTGTTTTCCTATCATCTTGATTTTTTAGCTAAAAGAGTTTTGAAGAATTCTGAAAACAAATATTGTTGTTTTCTAAGAAATAGACCCTTTCCCCCTAAACTTTCTCCCGAAGACATTTTCCCAGTACTAATCAAATGTTCTTCATTTATTTAACTAACCATATATTTTTGTATGGCCTTGGAGTCTGCAATTTTTATTGGACGTTCAGCTTGAGTCTTCTCTGTTTTAAGTTTCTTTTAATTTAGGCAAGACCCAGATCTGCCACACTCATTACGGACTAGAACAAGCAATCAAAGAATTGAAAACAAAATGCAACTCTTTTTTCTCATTTCAGGAGGGCATTCATACCCAATCTGTAATGTTGGTTCGCACTCCAAGGGATGAAAGAAGCCATCGCCCTGAGGTTGCGCCGGTTGTTGGCTATATCCCACATCTTGTACACTTGGATTCCACTGGAGTGGATTTACTTGGTTTCCTTCCAACAGCTGCAAAGCATCATCCACAAACGACTGATGTGATTTTAGTTATATACAAGAACCCATACAGAGTCAGTTTCCAAATCAAATCGCATCACTAGATTTGTATTTGATAGAACAGGATTAGATGGTGTAAATTCACTAAGCAATGTGCAAAGCAGAATTTAAGTGTTTTTTTAATTATCTGTGAAAATCCTCTATATTGGAAATTGGAGCTAGGTTGCCCACATGAGCTGACCTGACCTAAGCTATTTAAGTAAATGAGTAAATGTGGGGTGCAATAATTCATTTTGAAATGATGCAATCACTTACATAACCTCTATATATAATATTGCATATAATTATATCAAGTAGTTGGAAAATACGTTTTTGAATAATATAAGAGTGTAATACATATTGAGACACTTTAACTTGACATCTGAATTTTGAATGATAAAGATTATTTTAATTGTAAGTATTTTTAGATTATAGCGTTTAAATATATTCACTGAAACAGTTATTAAAACTTTAATTTAATATGTATATATTTATATAAATAAACTAAATATTTCTTTTTCATACTAAAAGTTTGTTATATGTATCAATGTAAAATACACAGGTAAACATAATTATGGTTGATTTTTCAAAATCCTAATTTGAATTAATAGACAATAGAAAAATTAATAAGGAATTAATAAGTCTAACTAAATAACACGCACTTCCATTTTTGTGGCTCATTTGTAACCTCTATAATAACATAGATTGTCCAGATTTTTTTAAAAAAATTTAAATTTAAAAGTTTGATTTGACCATTTACAAATTCTAAATCTTGATGATAAATTAATGATTGAAATGAATGAAATAGAGGAATGAAACCTATTTAAAAATGAAGAAACCCCCCAACCTAATGACGCCTTCACTATATAGATCGAAGATTCCTATTAAAAGTACAAAACTTCCATAAATTATTCGTTCATCAGCACCCGATGGTGGAAACTACATACCCTTTGTTTGAGGGACCTGTTTGCTTCATTAAGTGCATGTTCCTGCAAATACGGAAATGCAACAAACATGGATGAAGCTGGAAACAAATTAAGTAAAACTGAACATCTTGAAAATGTTTTCCTACCCTTCGCTGAAGGTCTGTGAGTTGATCCAGCATATACTGCGTCTGCAAGAGTGAATAATTGATCTTGTAAATATGTAAATCAATGAATTATCTATCTACATCGCTTGATAGTTAATTGAAAAATCGAATCTCAAATCACACGTCGTACTATTCTGTTTTGGTTGGCTTGTGATTTAATTTCACTACAGTATTCGGCAACGCTTGTCAGAATCAAAATACCAAGGAGTTGGTTAGTCTATGTTCAACTTTATTTCTCGGATACTTTCTAAAATATAACACCTTTTTCCTTTTTCTACTTAACCATTGCCATATCAAATGTTACTTGTCCAGCAAGCAATCGTGTAACATATGTCATGTCCTCTGGGACATTGAATAACTAAGTGACATATTAAAGCTTGTACAAATACGGTCACATGCCCTATATAAAGAGATAAAACTTTCGTAAGTGCATTTGCGATATAGTTGGCATTATCAAATTCTTTATCTTTTTCAGAAAGGCAAATCTTACAAACAAGAAATCTCAAGCAGCTTGAAAATACATCCTAATTTCTTCAAGATATTACGTAATTGATGTGTTTTCTTGTTAATTAAGTAGTAACTGTAAAAACTCATTCTTGTGGGGAGATTTTTTTTTTTCCCTCTTCTTTGGTGAAAACCTTAAATGCTAATTATGTCAACATACGGCCACTCGTAGTCAAGCTCTCATCCAACATGAACCTCCCAAGCAAGAACAAGCAAGGAGTTTATTAACCAGTTGCTGAGGTTGGGGCTCACTTTTTATTATTTCCATAATTGTTAGAATTATTAGTACCTCTTCAACAAGCTTAACTTTGTCTAGCAAGGCTAATGAGTTGCGACTTTTTTTTTCAGAAAGTGGGCCATGTTTGACATCATTTTCATTGCATTCTAGAAATTTACTGATTGCATTGTCTTCCTCCAAAAGCATTTATCGATTAGCAATTTGTAGAAGAGTAATTCTCTAATTAATTTCATTAAATTATGAATAGTAACACGTTTAGTTTTCTCTCTTACATCAAATGAGCAAGGCAAAACATCATTATTTGCCTCATACAACATTACTCAACACATTACCCAAAACGTCATTTTTTTCAGTTTTCTATTCTCCCCACGTATGTCTACATTGATCGCATATCTCATAAATTTACAAGCATTTAGCATAGTTTTCAACATCTGTATGCATCAATTGCAATTAATGAAAGTTCTTCTTATAAGATAGTTGCTTGTCATGTGAATTGGCATTAAAAATGAATTTTTATCTCACGTAAGAGTTTTGAGCAAAAGAGTTGACACTTATTAAACTAATCAATTTATAAGAAAGAATAGTATCTCAAGGTGACCAATCAATAATGCAAACATATTCTAAAATGAAATTATAGTGGAAAGGTCATGTACCCTTGTTGATCTGATCTGCTTCAACGAGGAATCAAGCTGCCTTTCTAGTGTCTCAAGCTCCTTACTGTTTAGGGGACCAAGATCCTCTCCCAGAAGATTCCTAATGTGGATCATTCAAAGAAATTATTGGCAACCCAAATCCTAGGTTTTTCGGTTGCAGCTTCAAATTACATAAGCAAGATAATTAGCAGTTCAAAAGTATAAATAATTCGCCAATTACCTTTGTGATCGTTGCAGGGCTTCATATCTTGCTTTAAGTTTCAAATACTCCTGCTGACTACTCAGCTCCTACAAACACATTTAATTAAGCGATTTATATGGGTTTGAGATCGTGGAAAATACTGCTTGAGAGAGATAAGTAACATATATAATTTATTGAAGACGTATTTCCAATGCTTGTTATCTTTGCATTGTTTTCTGTGTTTAACATAACATAACATGTAGGAAAGCTTGAACTTTATTCCTTGACCTTCAAAGTTCGATGCACCCCAAAGATATTGAAATAGATGATAAATGATTAAGTTGAAGCACTGTTTGCTCTTCATGCACACTCGCAAAGCTTTCATATAAAACATGAAGTTGGTTTTTTAAACGGTTGTCATAAATAATTCCTCATTAATGGTATCAGTAACAAATTCTTGTGAAAATATGGGAGCGAGTCTTCAGTCAATCATGTTCTCAAAGTATGTGAAAGAAAGTTTTTCAATAAGGAGAAGGAATGACTAAGATACGGGATTCAAATCTGATACGAGGGGTTGTTGTATATATACCTCCACCCCTTGTTTCTAATGCACGCGCGCGCGCACAAAAGGAATGAAAAAGCATGACTAGCTAGGCTGTTACAAATTAGACATAAGAGTGCTTTTTTTTTTTTTTTTTGGGCTAATCATGAATACCCCTTTTAGTTTCCATGATTATGGTTCAATTACTCTCTGTGCCCTTCTTCGCGATCATCTCCTAGTTCATCTCACGGTTCAGTCTTTCTGAACTCGGAGCTTTGCACTGATGTTCTCCAATTCGTGAACCGGAACTGCTTCGACCATTTTTCAAAGTGTAAGGGTTCAAGTCTCAACCACAAGATTTTCAAACAGTGGGAGGAGTTTCAGGCCCCACAGTTAATGGAGAGTATCAGCACTCCACCCTTGGGATCAAGTTAAAAATCCATTCTGCTTGCTCCAATAGATATTGAAGACTTCAACCATAATATCTTTCGTCGGGTTACTGCTTGTTAGTTGTTTATTAGACTTTATGCAAATTTATCTCAGTATCCTGTTTTTTATTTGTTGTGAGTTCTCATCTGTTTCATACTCTAGGGTTTAGAAGCCCGTATTTGGCGTTATTAAGATTTCATTAATTAAGCTAATCTAGAGCACGTTATTTAGATGGAAAAGTGATTGTGAGATAACTTACAGATCAGAAGATGGTTTTCCTGATTTACTTTTGACACATAAATGGAATCATAGCTGACTCAACACCAAATCTAGGTGTAGAAATAGAAAACAAAGTACAAAATCTAAACACATTACTGTTTTTGGAATTTCTGAAAGAATAGAAAACAAAAACTCAAAGCAGATTACTTCCATAAATAATACATGAATCCAAACGGAAAATTAGTTCAATAAGTTAAAAATAGCAAGAACACAGCAAGAACCTAGTAGAAAACAATGCTTCATGTGCATTTGTTCTTGGGATTGCTAAGATTATGATTGCACTTGTATCTGTAAGCTTATTCACTAGGTGAGTTGGAATTGCTTTGTTAAGGGCGAGTTGAGAAATTATTTTGTGTTTTATTGATTTACATTTTGGGGTTCAAAATAAAGCCACAGCAAGTGGATGTACATTTGAGTATTATTTTCCAAAGGTTTGGAACTGCTTTGTTAAGGAAACGGAGTTAAGAGCATATTGACACTTGGGGTCAAGTGCAAAAGAAAGGCAGACATTCTATGGCATTGATGCAGCTTCTTTGGGAACTGGCCGTGGTTTAAAATCCAGCATCAAATAAATCATTAGAAATAAAAAGGTAGTGATGGAGATGCACTAGAATGCCATATGTAAATAAATCTATGCAGGAGGTGAGGTTGAGACAAATTTTCAACTTAGGACTGGTGAAGGAAGACAAAAAAGGACTTGACCAAGAGTAAACATCTAAAACTACCTGCTGGGGAGAAAAAAAATAAAGGTATGGAGATTAATTATTTCCATTTTTTTGGATAAACTCGGATTGGATCAAAAATGTAACTGAATAGTTTGAGCCCAAAACCAACCGTGATGGCTTAGGACTGGAATTCATAACTTTCAAGGATCAGCATTGGCAATTTGATTCTAGTCCAATTCCTAAACTGTGAATAGAGCTATTTATTTATCTATCACATGACTTGTTGAACAATATGAATATGAGAGTAACGTTGAGTGCTGATATGTAATGCTGATGTGTACCAATGAGCTGTAATTTATTTATTGTATTTCTCTATTCCTTTATTTCTTTTTTATCTTATTCAAATCATTGTATATAGGGTTTCTTGGTCCTTTGTGTATAAATAACTGCTCATAGCAGCCGTCCAGTAACTTTTATCATTTCGAGTTTTTCTTATTATAATAAAGTTTTTGTGAGTTGGCCATTCTTCTCACCTCTTCCTTGGTTGCTTGTATTTCTAGTCTGTGCAGCTCTTAGCAATTACTCACATGATTCGAAGAATTTTGGACATGATACTTCATTTTGTAGCCACTAATTTGGAGAAAGAAAACCATTCAATTCCACAATTAGAGCTCTATAAATAAGAGTTGAAAATCACACTGTAGTATTCCCCAGATACTAAACTTGTTTTATTAAACCAAATTAAGAAGGTATGAGATCACAAAACCTGTTGTGTAGTCTCAGTCACTAGATTTCCCATGAGTAAATATGAAATATCGACAGTTCAGAAAACTGAATATATTTCCCTCCCTAATCTCCTCAAAACAATTTCTCGTTTTCTAAACCTGTTTAGTTCTCTCCATAAGTAAATACTATATTTCAATATCCTAATTTAAATATTGACATTTTCTTTTCATATGTTTTAATATTTTATATTAAGCCTATTTAAGTGTTTCGCTCCTTCTCTTTTCTAGGGTGGACGGTTGAGGAAAGTGCAACCAATATGAAACAATCAGTTAACAGTCACGTTTACAAGAAAACTTCAACTTTTGATCTTTACCAACCCAAGGAACTTAAACTACTAACTGAATGGCCTATTTGGCATATTCGTCCTTTGATCTGGGCCTCGGGATCCCTTCCTTTGGGTTTCAGCCTTTTGAGTTGGGGGTGTTTTTCAGGTGGAAGCGGCTGTCCTAGTCTTCAGCTTTCGGCCAAAGGCTGCCCAGCATAGCCAGTTTTGGTATAAAGCCAAATAAAATCTTTGCTTTGGACCTCCTAAATTTTAGACCAAATTTTAGGTTTTATGCTGTTTTGTTATTATATAATAATAATTTAAATAATTATAACATGAATTTTTTATAAAGAACTCATAACAAGGCCAGATAATTTTTATATTTTTCATATTAATTAGTTAGTTACAACTTAATCACATTCCATAACCTTCCAATTTTTTCTCCCATGCATTTCATAATTAAAATCTCCTATTCCCAAAATAATTATCTTTTAATCTTAATTAACACCTATTTTTTTCCTTCAAGCATTCTAACTATTTCATTAAATTCTTTTTAACATTCATTTTCCAATGTTAATACTTTTTTCTATAAAATCAAGATTTTAATTTTAATCTTATTACTTTCATTCTTTTTCTCATACTGATTAATACTCTAAATTTTCAGCTTACCATTACTACATTTGGTATCTCTCCCCTCTCTGAGTCAAGTAAAAAATCTTTATTGTTTGGTTGAAGAGTAATATCATTCTTATATTGAAGCATTCTCATATGTAATATTTATTGCAATCAACTTTCATAACTGAGGTTATATCATTCTAACATTTAACTATTCTTTACAATTTAATTTGTTAAATTTAAATGGTTTGTAGATATATTTTGTTATTTGTAATTTTTAAGAATTTAAATATGTCAATTAAACATATGAATCTAGTTATTCAAAACTTAAAAAAAAAAAGAAAAGAAAAGAAAAAGAATCTAAGGTTTAACACCAAAACGTCATTGGCCCATACCAAATAAGTTAGTTTATAAAAATATTTGTATTTGATGTTAAAAATTCATCTAATGAATTAAGTCTCAGTATTAAATAAATCTTAATTGATAAGAAGATAAGTGAAATAGTGTTTTTTGGCTAGAGATAGGTCTGAAAGTATGGTACAAAATTTGATGGAGGATGAATATTCACAGGGTCGTTCCATTTGAATTACTAGTATTTGTTTTGTCATGAAGAATTCATTGTATACAAGTGTTTTCTTTTGTTTATTTATCTCTGGAAATTTTAGATTCTTAACATTCTAGTATATGTGCTAATGAATTTATATTTCGTTTCTGGATGTAGTAGATTCCAGCTTTTGGATGAATTAAGATTTGATTGAATTGATTTTTCCCTCGTAGTTCTTCCTCACTTCTCCTCTTTGTTCCTCTCCATGGTTCTGATTTCTTTTCTCTCCCCTTCTACAATTTCATCTCCTTCTCTCCGTGTCTTTTAAGTGAAATGATTGGTGTAGGCATGAAGGGCACTTGTTTTTGGGCCATGGGCTGTATATGATTTTTGAGTTGGGTTATCTTTTTTCTCCGTAGTGTGTGTGGGAAGATTAAGGGGAGTGGGTTTGTTGGGATTGTATCAGATTTTGCTTCTTTCTCCCAAGGTCTTCTGCTCAACTCTGAGGGTCCTTTTTGTTGCCTCTGCTATATGGATGGCTTGAATATATTCAGCTTATTGCTGTTTAAAAAAAAAAATCTTTGGCATTTGAGATGCAATTTCTATTACTTTGTGCTTCATAATTAGAGAAGCAACTAAAATGAAAGTCATGCACTAGACATTATAATTTCCTTTGTTTTGCTAGAGTGTAGATGGTGTTGAAACTAGGCGACAGTTGTAAAAACTTGTTAAAAAGTTTATTTTGTCCTTGGCATGCTGTGTACAACAAACTGTGTTGTATACTTTCTTGGTGTGGTTTTAGCATTTTGCCACGCATGTTTTAGGTGTTACAGTATGCATCAGGTCATACCCCTTAGGGTGACATGTATTTTATGCATCACCCTAAATCCGTTGCTATCTCCAATTATTGCAGGGGTGATGCATATTGTGAGACTACCCTGATATGAATTTTGATCACTAGTGCCTTTTGGAGGATGGAAAACAATAATAATGAATTGAACTATTAAACTTCCAAATGGTACTAAAACACTTACCAGGGCCTCCCTAGTGGATACATTTGGCTCTGGTGCTCCATAGTTGCACTTCTGGTACCTATCAAGTGTTTTGAGCATGCTGGAAAGAAGGAAAATTATGTAAACATTTAAGTAGAAAGTCAATGACAAAGTAAAGGAACATTTATAGAAACACAAATTAGATGAACTAATTATGTCTTCCTGAGGAATATTATCAGCAAAAAAAAAAAAAAAAAAAAAAAAAATCAGTTTGCTATAATATTCCTTCTTTTATTTTGAGTTGTTTAACCCAACAAATCTAAGAGACTTTACAGGCACAAAAGGGACTTTAGAGAAAAACAAAAACTGAGAGAGAGGAAGAAAAACGAAAAGAAGAAGAACTAAAGACGCAAACAAGAGAAAAACAACAGAAAGGGTGCAAGTAGCTAAGTGAAGGGAATATTTTATTACCACAGCAAACTACACTCTTGCATCTTCCTAAACACACCAAATCCTTATCTTAGGAAATTATGTACTCTTGAAGTTCACAAAAAGCTCAACACATGTTTTCACGACATTTAGGAGAGCTATTTTTTTATTATCTCAAAAGCATATATGTTTTTAAAATTTGAATATACCTTTGAATTATAATATTTTAAAAACAATTGAGATAATATTCTTATGACATATGTTACATGTGTTTTTTAAACATATGTTTGAAATTATGTTCTTTTATACATTATTTTTGAGACAAGAATTTTTATGAAAAAATTAATATATTAAAGGTTGATATGAATAAAAGAATAAATTAAAAAATTAATATGAAGACTAAATGACAAAATTAAAATATAAATGACTAACATATATATATATATATATAATTGCTATTGTGTGAGAGAATAAAGGGAAGAAAAGAATATATATATATTTATAGAAGTAAAAGTGTTTTTAAAATCGAGTACAACTTAGAGTTGTGTTTAGTTTCAAGGGTATATATTCTATTTTTTAAAGTATGTGATCCTAAAACATAGTTTAAAAAATAATATTTTTGAACATTTTATTTTAAAAATAGAAGTATGTACTCTAAGATAAAAAAGAATGACCCTTTGGATCTTTCAAAACAATTACTTCTACGACACTTCATATCCCCCAGAATTTTGTAGGGATACCACATCCATCATAATAATCAAGTTACTTTTCCAATGTACTGAATTTTCCATTATGTTGGTTCACTAATCATATGTTCATACACATAATCATATATCAAATATGTTCACGATAAGCTAAACTCTCCCCAACTTATAAAAACCACTTTGGCTTCAATATAAAAATGGAAAGACACACATTGCATACAAAGGGAGGGAATTAGACGACCCGTATGAAAGGAGAATCATTGAATAATAAGGTTTATCTTGTCATTTTGGCATTTTTACTCATATTGGCATTTCAAACGAATGCCTTGAAAGAATTTGCTATTGTTTTTCTTTTTGGTGAATTGTTTAGCTTTTAAATGTCATTAAATGATAGTATTTTTTTAATATGTGAAAATGACTTTTTTTTTCTTAAATATGACTTGTATAATTTTTTTAAAGTAAAAAAGACCTTTTTATTCATATAATTGAGCGAAATAGAGCCTTGAATAATAGAACTCCAAGCACAGAAATAAAGATTCCCAAAATATCGAGACCTGAAGATACCAATACTCTAACAACCAAACTTGACTAACAGAGACAGAGAGCAGCAACTCCATATTACTTGTCAGAAATGCTGACCCCTGGTAAAATTGCACACGCCAGAATCAATGCCCAAACAGCTGAGATAATGAAATAAGTAAACATTGGAAGAATCTCTATATTTGATACTTGATCAAATGGAAGTGAGAGCCTTTAATCTAGAGGGTCAGAACCCAACATCCAAATAAATCGGAAGAATCAACTATGAAATAACAATCCTTAAGGTCCCATCTGAAAGATAATAGGCAGACATAAGAGTTACACTTACAAAACAAACAGGAAAGATGAAATTTTTGTTGATTCTAAAGACCATGGATTCTCCTTCCCTAAAATATCAGGGGCACCTTGAGGCTTGATCCAATTTTGAACTGAAAGATTCAGTGAAGCATTGTATACACAAGGCTAGCTATAATGTTATTATAGTAAATGATGAATAATTTATTGATGTTTTATAATTTCCAATGTCAATATTTTTGATATTCACAATCTTATATTTTTATAACTAACAGAATTTTCATAAACATAGAAGAAAATTTTAAGGGACTTCAAATATCACCAATCCTACTTCCTGATTTTTACAGTTCTCGTTACAAATCCCACTAAATGATGCTACTAATAAATGAGATTGCCATGGCTATAAAATATTTTACAATATATTGCAGAAATTGTTTTTCGCTGGTATTTTTTTTTAAAGTTAATGTCAATTACCGTCAGTAATTTTATTATTTTGTAGTGTAAGTATATATATATATATATATATATACACATAGAGAAAGAGAGAGAGAGATTTGAGATTCACTGGAAAATAGTTTCAAAATTTTGATGGGGGACCAGTACAATCAACAAAAACCCAATGATCCATCCAACCTTTGAAATGCCAAACCCTAGTTCCAGATGCAGATTCAGATTGTCCAAATCGATTTCACTAGCAGAGGTGCACAACACTCGGACACCACTGAATTAAACTCACGCCAGTAATTGACGAGACGAAACTTCATTAACTTCATATGTAATTCGATTTCACACAGGAAAGCAATGAAATATTTTTTGTCCTAAAAAATCGATAGATTATTTGTTTCCTATGCAGAGAACTTTTAAAAGAACCCTTTTTTTTCCTTTTGAAAGCAAAGAGTTATTATCTATGCTTCATTAGAAACTTGAAGAAGTTGAAGAAGCTGAGGGAGAGAGAGTTTGAACCGAAGAATTTCACTGAAATAGCAAAGAAAATTCAACTAAGTATTTGATTCACCAAAAAAATTGATTTTTTAGATTTCTAATTTTCTATTTTCAGTCTGTTTGGTTCTACAAGCTGAAAAATTCAAAGAAAAAAAACTTAAAACATTAATTTTTTTAAAAATCCAATTTTATTAATTTTTTAAGCTCTTTTTTCCTTTGTATTTTTGAAAACAAGTTTCTGAATTCCTTCGAGCCACCGAATATACAGAGAGTTGCTTTTGAAGGGCTATCCATCCAAGAAGCAAACGAGCTAAAACTTTTGATTTTGATTTTTATTTTTCTGTCAAGGGTTACCTATCCAAAAAGCAAACGAACAATATTTCTGATTTTTTTATTTGTCTTTTAACAATCCAATGGAATATGATGAAGGAGAGAAACAATCAAAATTATCCGAATGTTTTATTTTTTTACATTAATATATAATTATTTAGATAATTAAAATTAACAAGAACAATTTTTTAAGACAAATCAAATATCGAAAAAATCTAAATTTTCTACTTTCATGACAAAAAAAAATTTCAACATCACTTTTTAACCAAACACCTCCTTGGAATTGAGATGAACAAAGATCCAAGCACAGAGAAATGCGGCATTTTTTTTTTTGAATTTAATAATTAGTAGTAGAAGAAGTCCAAAAAACGGATCAGATTAGTTCAATGCAAAATCAGGCAAAAAACTTCTTTTAAAAGAATTCTTTTTTGTTTTGTTTTGGTGGAAGCGATCGAATCAAATTAAGAAGAAACGAAAGCAAAGATTTAAAAGCAACTAAAAGGCGATAAGAAAACATATCTGAAGTAATAAACTAGGATTTAGTAACGCAAACGATCTTCTTTTTTATCATTTTCCCTTGCAGATCTAACAACAACCCAAGCACGAAATTCTGAAAACACCGAGGCATTCACGAAAACGGAAAATTCAAACAACAAAGAAATAGAAACAGAAAAAGAGCCTAGCTTTTTCTTTTTCACAATCTCAACAAACGCTATTTAGATCTACAAGCAGAATCACAAGAAGCAAAAGCAGAACCCTAGAGAGAGAGAGAGTGAGAGAGAAAGAGAGAGAGAGAGAGAGAAACAAAGAAAGAGAAGGTGGAGAGAGAGAGAGAGAATCGAAGAGCTTTTTCTAAAATTTTCTTTTCCTAAAATTTCATTGTTTTTGTGTGTTTTGGAAGAAACTTTGGTGAAAGAAAGTTTTGTTCTTTTTTGTAGATTACCTCGAGCTACTGCAGAACTCGTACAGCTTTCCTCTATTGGAGAAGATGATCAGAGCGACCTCAGCGTCGCAAAGAACGGAAAGCTCGTAAGCTTTCTTCAAAAGGCCATTTCTCCGCTTGGCGAAGGTCACTTGCCTGTTGATCTTGTTCTCTATCCTCTTCAGCTCAACCCTACCTCTCCCCATTCCCGCTCTCTCTCACTGAAAATACACACACACTGCACACAAATTCTTCAGCACAACCTCACTCTGCTTTTAACCTTCTCAAACCTTGCATCTCCCTACACATACACAGACTTCCTCATATATCATCTCTCTCACCCTATTCTCTCTCTCTGTCTCTCTCTATTACAGTTTGGATTTTTGGCACTAACAATGATAAGACGGCCCCGATATTGCGCTAAGCAAGGAGGATGGGAAATTTTAACGTGCTTCCGGTTGTACGCTGCGGCTGCTGTTGCGTTTCTGCGAAAAATTACACTTCAGTCCTTGTACTTATGCCTTAATTTTATTTTATGCCTGAACTTTATATTGTTGCATTCTAAATCATATAATTTCAACCAGTTAGCTTTTTCTAACCTTTTGTCTACTCTTCCTTCAACATTCTAACAAATTTCTACATATTCCACTAGCAGGGCTCATATAGAATAAGATAAAAATATAGGAATTGGTTTGCTCTTTTGACAAGTCTAAATCTTAGGTATTTGTTTGTTGTGTAATTCACGTAAATAGCACGTGGGAGGGAGCTGTTGTTATGGTAATAGAAGAGCAGACAGCATATTGATATTACTAGTTGACAAAAGAATCTAGGGTTTAAATTGATGAAGTTAGAAGTTGAAGTGGTTGTTAAGTAGATATGAAAGTATAAGGACTTGGTGTAATTTACAATATTTCAAGTGAGGGCTGGACGCGCGATGTGGATCGACGGTGGAGAGGTGAGGGATACCGAGAGCAGAGGAGGACCGAAAAGGACCTTCGAATGGGCGAAACCTTAAAAGCACTGAGGAATTAAATGTTAAGGAGTTCAGAACACGTGTCAACACATTAGACGACGATCGGATGAAATCAGCCTGTCCACTGTCCGATTGTTTGCAGGAGGGTTGCTGCAAACATGTGACCTTAAACTTATGAAGGTGAAACCTTTAATGTCCGCCGCAATTACTGGAATGCCCTTGGGTCTATATTCCTAACGGAAGTGTGTTGTCACATTGACTCGATGACCTCGCAATTTATTCTATTCGAAGGTGCGAATCCAATAAATATTTTTCGTTTTATAAGGAAAAAAAAAAAAAATATGAAAATAAATGGATAAATGTTTTTATATATATATATATATATCAGCTTGGATAAATAAATTCATATTTTTAGACCAAAAAATAAATTCATATTTTATATTTTCTCCGTGCCAATCTAGAACTCCAAGAAGTGATTAAAAAAATAAAAATAAAGTACTAACAGTGGCATCTACTATTCACATGACATGCTTCCCTTGCAACCAAGAAAAGAAAAGTGGTAAAAACAATGCAAAATGCAGTTATTTTTATTTTCTTTAATTGGTTAAAAAATGAAATGCTCTTATTTAGTTATTATTCATTTGTTCTAGCAATGGAAACATTCATTATATATTTTCTTTTTTTTTTCAAAAATAATTTGAAAAAAATAAAAGAAGAAGACTACGCCACATAAAATTTTACATGTAGGTCCATCAATATGCACTTACACATAATGCACCGAAATAATGTTGTTTTGATACATGGTTTTATTTATTAATTTTGCTAGGAGTGGGTTTTTTTATTATTAAATGTAAAAAAATATTTAAACTTTGATAGGTAATTTTAAACCTTCTCAATCTTAAAAATTAACTTATGTGCTGAAATTTTCACTCACACATATATGCACTAACCAGTAACCTCATTCACAACTGATATGTGAATTATTCCAACAATCTTTTATTTCATACATTGGGTAAGAGAAAATCTGAATTTGACACCGTGTGAAAGCAAACTTAAACACGAGGAGATATAAAAATACAATTTCTAATACTAATGAAAAGTGGTCTTAAACCTTCTCAATTTCAAAAATTAGTTTATGAGGTAATATTTTTCCTCACATATATACACTAATCACTAATCTTGTTTACAACCAATATGGAATATACCTAGCAAACTTTAGCCACTTTCTATTTTCTTAGTGAGTAAATATAACAAACACAAGTTAAGATTTTGATTTTGTTTTGACATAAGAAAACTGGAGTTTGAAATCTCGGATTATCTGGCATTTGGTGTCCATAATTGACGTGCAAACTCAACAAAAACGGGGTTTAACTCTTGCCATATATATAAACACTTGACCCTTTTATCAAGCTCTAATTCAGACTAAACATGACCTTAGTTGCTTCATACATTTTAGTACTGTAATCCTAGTAATTACATAATCAAAAAAACATCAACAGATTAAGAATCGGCAGCGATGGTGACCACACACTTGATTTGTAATCAGCATTGTAAACCTTGCTCACCCTTGAGTTCAACTAGAAGTAGTATTGACGGTTTGCATCAAAATGGTATTCATGTATAGAAACCTTCGTATCACGGGTTTACTTGGAAATGTTTCCACAATGATGAAAACCAGAGAACTCGGAAGCAAAGCACCAAACGGAGGCCGGTTAATGTATGTGTTCCAAATAGTTGTAGTTCATGTGACAGAAAACTAGTGAGGGCAATAGTTCCTTCTAGTGATTTGAATAATTAACTTACCCAAGTAATTAAAAATATAGGTTGCAACGTACCAAATTACCAAAACAAAAAAGCTCACTAAAAGCCAATCGCCTTCTTGTGATATGTCATTTTTTGCGGTCCTCAAGAGAGAAACTAGACAAGAGATTAATCAATTTGAGTAAGGTAGCCATATATTCAAGGGAGATGTAGCCAATAGATCATATGAGGCCCCAAAAAAAAGGGAAATAGAAAATCTAACTATGACCTTGGATTAATGGTTTTCTTAATATTGATAATTTTGTTAAGAAATATTATTAAAAGATATTATCTCTCTTGCTGAAAAATAATAATGGAATAAGTCTATCGGCATCTTATTAGTGAAAATTAGGATAATTATAAATAGAAGATAAAAAATTCATCCTAATCTTATAGTTATTGATAGATATACATGTGATATATATATTTATTGAGAGAGTTAAGTATTTTAATATTATAATTATTGTCTCTTATAAATATAGACTGTTTATGTTGAACCATATTAAAATTTGTATTTTCTTTTTATCTATCTTATATCTCTAATTAAATTTTTAATTTTCTAACACATTTTTATCTTTTGTTTGATGAAAATAAAAGATGTCATGGACACGTAATTTCTTTTTTTTCTTCTTTAAATTGAGGGTAGTGAACCAAAACAAAAGATATTAGAAACATATATAATGAGTCTCAAACTTTTCACATTTCTGTAAAGGATGCTTTATATAGTGATGAAAGTCGCCCACAATTTTATACATGACTGGTAAGGTAGTATAAATATTTTCTGTTCAATATGTGCTAAGCTTATTCAAGTAAAAAAACCTGATAACTTAAGGGGCACACGTATAAGACAAATATTTTTACTCACATACCAAATTTTCAAAAGTCAAATAACACTTTCTACTTTGACAATTATATATATATATATATATATATAGAGAGAGAGAGAGAGAGAGATACACACCTACTTGAAGACAATTTCACTTTACCAAATTTGCCTTAGCTTCAAACCGGCCACTTGAAATATATACTCTGAGTCATCTTATGCTGGCTCATTCTCTGATTTAAAATGAATTACTCTGAATTTGGAAGGCACATAATTTCTTCTGCTAAAGACATATTTAGAATTTTTCAGTTAAAAGTATTAAGTTCTTATTCTCTCCTCAAGTTGGCAAGCAAAAGGAATCAAGATCAACCATGCATTTAAGGGGTACCGTTAAACAAGAACGAAAAATAACAACAAAAGAAAAAAAAAATTCTGAGTTTTCATTTTCTATTTTTTTAGAGGAAAAATATAAAAGGACCTTGTCCAACGTTACTGAGAATCAATCAAATGCCATGTGAAGTAGTACGCCAATAGTTTTGTCTATGTAATTTAATGACGCGTCAATTGCACATTTATGATATGGGTACGTGTAGAAGGGACCACAATGTTGCAGTAAATTCCTATCTACTTTCTCAAAGTGAAATGAAGCCCTAATATCTGTGCGAGTTTGTGAAAGTTTTTTTTCTTTTCAGAGAATTTTCGTTTTCTATTTTTGAAATTAAAAACCTAATTTTGCATGTTGTTTTCAAAATTATTAGAATTATTTTCAGCAGAATTTTAACAACAACAAAAATTTGTTTTCAGAATTCTCAAGAACTATTCCAACCAAGGGCAGAGCTATGTTAGAGTTAGGGTGGTCACATGCCTCCACTCAATATTTTACTAGTAATTATATATATACATATATATAGATATAGATATATATTACAAATATATTATAAAATACCCTCACGAATTTTTTAATTTTGCACAAATTGGAGAATTTATATGAATAAATTAAAAATTGATAGATAAAATTAAATTAAATTAAAAGTAAAATGTGCTATATAAGAGTCTAAAAATAAAAAATAATAATATTGAAAGACTTTGTTAAAATGATTAACAAATTTTTGAGGACCAAAACAAAAAAGTTGAATGAAAGTTATATGAAATTGGTATTAGAAAATAGCTCACCTTCTTCCTCATGCAACTGACATCTCTATATCTAGAAGCAAGTTGTTTTTTTTTTCGTTTGACTTTTGTTTTCTTGATTTTTACTATGTGTATCGCCATTTTATTCACCCTTTACTTCAACTTTCATCTCTTTCTTTGTGGCTGTGGTTTGATCCTTGTTGTTGGCTGCAAATCTTCCCCAAGACTGTGAAAATAAGAGGTTTTTTGTTTGCTGATCGATTAATCTTGATTAAAGTTTTGAGCCTTTGGATTTCAAGTTCTTTTGTAGCTCCCAACAATTTCGATTTTCAAAAAACTTCTATAAGTGAATCCCTTCTAATCCCAGTCAACTACTTTGCATTTTGTTGGCATAAACTTCTGTTACTCCTTCATTCTTTATTTTCAATCCCTATTACACTTTACACTATAAGTCACGTTTGAGTACACTTGATGCCATT